CGGATGAGATACGAAATAACATATTACTTGTGTAAGGTCATTCCAACAACAAGTACTTGTTGAGCAAAACTGTAAACCGACTGACAGGCTAGCCGACATGCGACTAAACATAGAACGACGCATCTTCCTGACTGGCTGCTAATTTTAGTAATGTGATGTCATCACTACCTGGGATCCCACAGACTATTTTTATAAGGCCGTGGAGGTACCACAGATCGTGAGAACACGATACAGTAGAAAATCTTTGGAGGAACCGCATGGAATGACATGTTGGGTAGTCAGTGGCATGGCTTGACGTATTATCCGTATCGATGTGTTTAGCACGATAAAATTTTACACTTCTGGCTAACTGCAGCACGTCAGCCATGCTCCGTTGATGGAAGATGGCTTCGATCGTTGATACTCAGAATAGTAAGAACGCTGAACGATGCTTGAAATTGAAACACGGTTTACAAACGAAAGACAATAAAGCGCACGAAAACTGCCACAAAGACACCCGGAGATTAACCCCCCCCCACCCCCCTCCCGATAAACAAAGCGCAGAAGAGATATATAAGCAGCAGCAGCATCGGAGCACTGCATTATATCACTTCCGGTTACCGGTATGTCTCCTGGAAAAAACATCGCAGCAAACGTCGTGCCAAGGTAGACACGATCTTTGGTATATGCGGTTGGCTATGTTTAGATCATGTAGTCACGGGATCGGAGGGGTATCCCGGTGTGACTTTACACAAGATGGCCGCCCAACCTAAAAATAGTGGCGCTTTTTCGGTAGTTCCCACCCCGCAATTATTATTCGCCGGTTTTGGCCCAAAGAGTAGGGGGGCTTCAAGGGGGTGCCCCCCTCTGACCTAATGAAAATATGGTGGGGGGTTTCAGGGGGCCCCCTGAAACTTACCACAATTTAATGTTTTGCAGTTGTTAGGTTTGATATCTTAGTCTTAGTTGCCGCGAATCAAACGTATAGGCTAGACTATAGATTAGGCCAGGGCAAGATCGACTCTGGGATCGATTCTTTCGAGTCCAAATGAGGACTCAAAGAATCGATCTTGTTCCCAGACTCTAAGCTTCGAGTCCGCCCAGGGTCGACGCCTCCCGTCTCCTTTTTTTAAAGCCTGGTTCCTAGCCCTGACTCCGAGAATCGAGGCAAGAATCTAAATCTGTACCTCACTATTACAGTCCTGTCGTGGGATAGGCCTAGGGCTGTCCCACCCCACAGTCGAGTTTTTTGCTTCAAAACAGACACCGCACCAGGACGGGACTGATCCGGCGTATAAGGCGGCTTCTTTGATGTTGGCCTAGGCGGAGTTAAAAATGCATTCCAAAAATTTCTTAAATATTGGCCAAATTTAAGAAATAATAAGATTTTCGTGATCAGCGACCCAAAATTAGCAAAAATTACGCGTGGAACCCATTTTAACGCTCGATTACCAAGTTAAATTAATTTTTGTGAGTTTTGTATACTTATTATGGTTTTTTTTCACTATTTGAATTCGGCGTGCACTAGGCCTTGATAGTGCAAGAGAGAAGGAGCCTGTGCCCCACGCATTGGCAAGAGTGATAGAAGGGAGGCAACACACACACACACACACACACACGCACGCACGCACACACACGCACACACACACACACACACACACACACATACACACACACGCACTGGCCCACGTTGTAGCAGCATGAGAGCCCCCCCGAATAGGGCGACAATATACAAGAGTGAACTAATCGTGAACTAATCGTGAACTGTCAGAGTCTGGCCATGAGTTGTATCCTTCTCTCTCTCTCTCTCTCTTTCTCTCTTCCTCCCTCCCTCCCCCATCTCTCTCTCTTTCTCACTCCCCATCTCTCTCTCCCTCCCTCCATCTCTCTCGCTCTCTCTCCCCATCTCTCTCTCCCTCCCCATCTCTCTCTCCCTCCCATCTCTCTTTCTCTCTCTCCCCATCTCACTCTCTCGCTCCCCCGTCTCTCTCTCCCTCTCTCTCTCTCCCTCTCTTTCTCGCTCTCTCTCTCTCCCTCCCTCCCCGCATCTCTCTATCTGTCTCTCTCTCTGTCTCTCTCTCTTCTCTCCCTCCCTCCCTCCCCCCATCTCTCTCTCCCTCCCTCTCTCTCTCTCCTTCTCTTTCTCTCCCTCCCCCATCTCTCTCACACACACACACACACACACATACACACGCGCGCACACACATATACACACACACACTTACACACACACACCCAAACACACACACACACACACACACACACACACACACGATACACACACACTCACAATTGCGTGAAAGCCAACTTGCCTTGGAACGCGTGCAGGCTTATATTAGCCAGCCACGTCTGTCAAACTCGAGACTCGAGGTCTCGATCTTAAGAGCTATTTTTAGCGGTGTTCAAGACTCGAGGTCTCGATCTTAAGAGCTATTTTTAGCAGTGTTCAAGTCATGGCCTCTAAACAGCCCACTTGAAGCAGCTTCCAAAGTCGAAAATTGGGATCGAGGCCTCGAGTCTTTTTGTCGTCGATCTTGCCCTGGCCTACTATCGATAGACAGTATTCACAAAGAGACAGAGAGAGAGAGAGAGGGGAGGAGTACATCTTACGAGAACTTCCGGGCAAAACAAAATGGCGACCCGCGTAGTAAAGCTCGATTCGAACAGTGAAATAGCCATGCATCTTTGAAGACGATCAAATTAGCTTACTTTTACTTTTGTGCTATAACGTAATTTTTTCTTGGCTTTTATCAATTTGATCATCCACACATCGATAGAAAGTATTCCGAAATTAGGAAAAACAGGTCTTGTTTCAAACCGGGTGAGAATAGCCTACAGTCGCAAGTCTCACCCGGGGTGAGAGGTCGATCGTATCTATTCTCACCCCGGATGAGAATCAAATAGCCAATAGCCACTTCCGAAATTGAAATGCACACTGACTGTTAGTGGAAGAAGAGTGAAACTGAAAGGGTTTTGAGTCCATGTTACTAGATTTTTCTAGATCTATGTTTATGCATTATGACCATGACCAAGAAACTTCAAGGTGTGAGTCTGAGCAATGTATGTTGTTACGCTGACCAGTGCAATGAATGGTCAAAACTGCCACTTGATGAATCTTATTCTTGGCGGTGACAGGCAGTCTGAGGGTGTGTGCAAGAGTTCGGTTTACAAGAGTAAACGTACCTTAACATTCTCTAGATTAGAGCCAGTCAACTAAAATTAGCTTAAACCAACTTCAGCTTTTCTTTTGACATGCTAATAACTCTATCGATGTGGGCATTAACGCAAAAACAAGTTTCAACTCACTGTATCTGTACTGTTCTAACTGTAAACATCAGCGTGTTTGGGTCAAGGGATCACGAATTCGTTGTATTTCGGATTTCCCGTCAGCCTCAATGATGCCAACTGCCAGGTTGGCCGGAGCGAAAAACCGCGAAAACAAAAAATTACAAAAATTTTAATAAGGCTCCCCAAAATGTTTCTCTTGTGTTTCGACGAGGGTCCTGCTTCTCAAAGGAACTGAACTCCATCCCTGTGTGTGCGTGTGGGGGGGGGGACATTTGAGTTGAACGTCTTAACAAGGCATGGACACATACATTCTGTATATAAACAGAACCTAGCTACTGAACTGACGTTAACACTAACGCTACTTATAGGCTATAATAGTTGTAGTCATAGATGTACACTATAGGCACGTTTAAACGGGGATAACTCTATGGCTGTAGTTAAATCAGAGATCGAGTTTGTTTTTTATTAAAGTGTTTTACGGCGCTCGCAACTGCATAAGGTCATGAGCGCGATCAGAGAGCTAAATTATACTAATACATATTTTGTAGGCTACTGTAAAACTCTCTAGATCTAGTTAAATCAAGAGGTTTTGCGGGGTTTTTTCACCCGAGGCGAAGAGAGAATTACTTCATAGGAATGGTCAAGGAGTTCATGGCTTGTAAAAAATAAATTGATCACCCAGCCAACCTGCTTCCGATTTGACTTGCTCCAATTATTTACTTCAAAGCAGCGCCGACTCCCCCCACAGTAGGCCTAGTTTCAACTCTATTCTGTCTCTGTCTCTGTCTGTCTGCCTGTCTGCCTGTCTGTTTGTCTGTCTGTCTGTCTGTCTGTCTGTCTGTCTGTCTGTCTGTCTGTCTGTCTGTCTCTCTCTCTCTCTCTCTGGC